TCGCACCAAGTATGAAGAAACTGTGGTTTCTCAGCGACATGAATACTGCCGTAGGGTTGCTGACACCAGTTGTGTTTGGAGACTTGTTTCTGACGGTACTACAGATGTACAGCCACAGTATCGCTACAATCAGTGATGCCGGAATCTTCTGCCATCGTTTTACCCAAGTTCAAAATAAGTCTCTCCCCCTTTTTAAAAGTAACTTCAGAAAGCTGACAACATTTCTTGTTTATGATATGATGGGAAACTGAGAATGTATTTGCATAATTACAAAGCAGTAAACATGACTAGAGACATCCAGGTTTTACTAGTAAATCCATTTTTTCTAGGTCTTAACGCAGAGAATAACATCTAACAAATTTCCTGTCATTCTGATTTTAACATTTGTGAATCCATATTGTTCCAGTAAGCGTCGATATTCAGAGCCGCTTCTCTCCTTTCCCTCTGTCTGCACAAGCATGTTCAAAGATTGCAGCAGAGCTGTGCTCCTGTTCTTCTTTTCATCATCCAATACCATTTCAGCCACCAAAATCCCACAGCCTAATTTTAAAACAAATGCATGCAACAGTACTAATCCATTACCAAGCAAGAGAATTTCTGCTACCATATATAAGGGTGCAAACTACAAGACATAGGTGATATCGTTTATGGCTTTGCTCTGCTATTAAATGGTTAATTCACTACTAAATGTATAATCCACTCCTCTCACAAAACCCAGGAAATTCCCTTCCACACTATGGAGGGATCCCACACTCCCAAGTCAAGTCACATCTTTCTTTTCAGGGGAAGAGGGGATGACTTCTGTAGACTTGACATGAGGGTTGAGGAAAACAGTAAGATAGGAATTTGGGATATATTGCTCCTTCACATTCATACTGAAATGGTGCCAAGCAGACAAAATGGTGGATGGTGAGCATTATAGAAGCAAAGAAGTCATTTTGTACGTTATTCCTGTAGGAACTGAGGTGTTTGTGGTGGGACTGACCTAGGGATGCGAGCAGAACTTAAATGATCCAGTTTATACACAGCCTCTTCCTCCATCTCCAGACCCATGAGGGGAAAGGGAAGACAAGAGGGGGCTACTGACAAAACAAGCGTTGTCTTACTCATTGTCTTTTGGCCCTACATCTTATGTGGTGGTTTCTCTTGGCACAGTGGGGGCAGGAGGCCACCAACTCAGATGAAAATAGCAGCATTCTACAGGGAGTTTAGTATTACTTAGTGCCACATAACATTCATACCTTTCTGACCCTTAAGACTATCTCCTTAGAGCCATTCCTACCCATACACCTCAGACATTTAACAATTGATAAAAAGTACATCAAACACTGCAGTTTCTTAGAGAAAAGACCAAGAGCTGCAGATAAAGTTGCTGCTGAGACTTCGGTGTTAACTGTTGGGAGTCATGACAGTTCTTCTGACAGCTTATTAATAAATTCCCTGTTTCATCAGCTACCTTACTAAATGCAAGTTCAAGCCACTTACCCTGTGATGAATCAGTGACACAGGTTTGCTTCACACAGAAAAAAGATTAGCCAAGCATGTCTGAGGTGAGCCTCAACCTACATTTTCTCTCTAGTGGGATCCTTCTGCCCCAATTCAGTCATCCATAATTAGATAGCTGTATTCTAGCTAGCCCTCTATCCACTTAAATATATAACAACTTTTCTTAGGAAAACCAGCAAATTTCCTTTCACAGACAGATGAGATGAATCATCCTCTGAAAATGCCTGTTTTTTCTACTGATTGGAGATCATTTGTTACGATTCAGTGGTTTCTCTTCCCTCCCCTTCTTCCCCTGTGATTCTCATTTGCCTTCAGCAGAGGGACCTGGGAACCGCTGTTCCTGGTTAAACAGCTAACGTTGCTACGTAGAGTAATGCAGGACTGTCATTCCTAAATCAACATTATATCATAGCTTTGGAAGGTGGTATCCACATTTTGTATGCTCCAAAAGGAGGATGCACATAGAATGGTCATTATAATTTGACACAGAAAGTTATTTGGGACATCCAGATAATAACAGAGTAATCTGGAAAAATATATCCAGAAAGCACAACCAATGTGAGAAGAACACCTTCAAAAATTAGACACAGTAAATTAAGGTAGTACAGGAAAAAAAAGAATTATAGTTAATGAAGATTAACTAATGTAATTGAAATTTCTTCATGAGAGGGGCTGAAATTAGAAAGTCATTTAATCCAGATTATCATTATTTAGCAAGGACATAATTTCCAGCCAAAAGACGAGGGGGAAGTAAAGTGCCAGCCCTCCAAAAACTTTTAAAAACAAAACATGAAAAACCACATTAAATACTTCCACTATCAAGGAGTCAGCTAACACATGCAAAATTGAACTAAGAGCTCACACAAAGGGGCTTAGCCATTAAATAGCTGTTCCTAAGCTTTCACACTGGGTGGCTCAGATGACATACTACCCTTTGCTTCTGTCCCATTACTCTTCCAGGCACAAGTACTGGTTGATAGCTGTAACAAGGTCAAAAATTGATACAAAAATGATTGAGCTAAGACAGACAACCAAGTTGTAACTCTTGTTTCTTACAAACTTCTCTGTCTTCCTCAAGGATTCCTACCTCAGCATTCAGTAAGCAAGTGCTGAAGTTCTTGTTTCTATTATTCATCTGTCACTCTGTTAACGCCCGCGATTTTCCACCTCAAAATTGTTTTCTGTGTATCACATTTCCTCTAAACTGTTGTTAAGACAGAATGTACGCAAAAGAGATCATCCTCAAGAAAGCATAACTGAATGCCACTTCCCAAGGAGAAACACAAAACCTACAGGTTTTATTGGCAGAAGTCCATTTGGATTTCAAAAAGTTAGCCCCCTCATTCTTTATGTCTTGATTAGTGAACAGTCCCAAATTTTCCTCAGTTATGCCTATCGCTTAGGAAGTCTTTACAGTGTTACACCATTAAATCCCCCCCCTTCTACCAGTCAGCAAAAGATACCAGCTTTCTCCAGAGCAACTGAAAAACTTCAAGAAAAGATGAATTTATCATTTCTCAGGTGACTGGGATATACCTAATGATTATAGAGCAGCTCAGGCTGAAATGGACCACAGGAGATCTCTAGTCCAACCTCTGGCTTGAAGCGAAGCAGCTCCACAGTCAGCTCAGCTTGTTCAGGGCTTTGTTCTCAGATCTTGAAACCTCCAAGGACAAAGATTCCACAACCCCCCAGCAACCTGCTCCAATACTTAATTATCCTGAGGGTGCAAAGCTGTGGTGCATTACCACAGACACCATGCCCAAGGGACTAACGCTTTGTGTGTATAGAGTGTTGTGCTTTAATCACAGAGTACACTGAGGCTGTGTGGTAGCCAAGCACGTTCTATTCAAATTTTACAGTCAGACACATAGTACTTAGAGGCACAGTTTTAAAGTCTGTGACAGTTACAGGTGCGCCAACTTTAGGACTGAAATCTGACTCAAACAGCTTATAGCAGCTTAAACAACAGCATTGTGAACTTTACAAATAACTGTGAGATGAGAAACATCTGACTGCTGGAATGAGCCTCTCTCATAACACAAACCTGTTAAGCATAATGGCAAGCTTCATGTCAATATGTAAAAGAAACTAACTTTGAATTTATTCAGTTGTTGAATATTTTGCCTTATCTCTTTGAATGTCTGTACAGATGAGATCAGTCAAATTCCATTCATAAAAATCTTCTGATAAGAATTAAAAAAAACCCAATGCAGTCAAAGTCTGACATTTCCCTGATTTCGTACAGCTGAAATGCTCTGTAGTGATCATGTTTCTCATGATGAATTGAATCACTGTGGCACTTTTCCTTTACTCAGTGCTTAAAGAACAAAGTAACTTATGATTAAATAACGTAAGACAGAGTCTACCAGGCAGATGCAACTCAACTTTGCTCATCAACTCTTTAATTTGCTGAGGTTGCTGATTCAGCATAGGCAAAGCCTCTTTTCACACTGGCTTATTGGGATTATTACTGCAGAAGTGTAACAAGCAAGCAACTCACAACTGATAGAGAAGAAAGCCAGTTTGAAAGTGCAACTTTAATTTCCACAAAGGCTTCCAATACAAAGTACACTTTAAATTGAAAAAAAATAAATATCAGTGAAGTATCAGGAAAAAAATAAACATTAGGAGAGGTGACATCAGTGATATCAGTGACTTGAAGAGATGGGATACACTATGTACTCAACATGAAAAAACTTATATTTCTAATTCTCATAAGGGATTTTATACATAAATCCTAAAACTCATCTCAAGTAATGAGACAGAAAGCATACATGGCCATTTAACCATATTCATAAAAAACATGAAACTGCCAGGAACTGATAGGACCCGCTCTCAGCTGCAGCCTGTGTGGGTACATACTGCGGCTGGAGGTCAGAGGCTGATGAAGTTTCTCTGTGAAATTATAGCTGCTGTAGGAACATGTTTGAGCTTTGTCCTATTTTCACTTTTGCCTGCAGAAAACGTGCTTTTAAAAGGGTATCTCTGAGATGTTTGAGTAAAGCCCCACAGAAAAGTGAAAAAGAGTAGCATCCCCAAATTTATACAGGTGGTCAGTATTCACTTTTATTTTTTAATTTCTGATAAAAATGAGCAGTAACCACTGAATACACCATAGGGAGAGAATTCTGTTTAATTTTAAGGTCCAAGAAAAATAAGGTATTAATGTGGTTCGTAAAAGCTTGTACTTTTAACTTGCCACGCTATACAGCTATGTCAAGTCTAAGTTTAATTCAGTCTGCAAACTAGCCAAAAGAACTGGACGTGAAGGTATTTCATACATAGGAATTTTGGCCTGCCCCAGACACTTTTTAAATGCATAGAACTCCCTTCTGCAGAAGTTCCAGTCTAGCTTTTATTCAAGGCCTGTAACAACTATGCTTAAGATAAATGGCCAAAATGATCCTAAACTGACGATATGTTCTGTTTGATAATGGGTCTATTGCACGAGTGTTGTGAAAACGCAGCACCTCAGCTTGCTTTTGGGCACACTATGGTGACAGATTCTTCTTAAAGGACAAAACAGCGTCTAAGAAGTTTCCTGTGATCTTAATTTGTACATCTGTGAATCCATATTTCTCCAGCAGCTGTTTATATTCTGAGCCACTTCTCTGCTTGCCTTCAGTCATACTGAGGGACTGTAGTACAGCTCTAGGAGGGTGTGTCTTCTGTTCGTCAAGCACAATTTCTGCCACTAGCAAGGCACTTCCTGCATTTCCAAAACAACCAAAAGTGTTTCAGTACAGTATTTCTAGCTTCAAGTTTTTGGTGTTTTGTTCAGAGACAGTTATAGAGGGCCCTCAGACTCGTATTTTAATGGTCTTCAGTGGAAAACGGTGACAAATTTTACTTTCAGTAATCTCTTCCAGGAAGCAACCATAAATTGCTGCAAGGAAGGGGGAGTTTAGAGCACTGTTTCCACTTCAGTGTAGTTCACATCACTTCCTGACTATGCTCTTAAACTCAGTTTTGCTTCCATTTGAACAGAGCAACTCTTGTAAGTATCTGTCATACCCCAATCTTTTCTTAAGAAGATGAAGACAATTACCCACAATTTTCTCTCGTAATTTATAAACAGGATTATGCTTTATGGCCTAGATGTAATTTTGAATGTTCTTCTATGAAACAAACTTCATAGCAACAGTTAATTCTGTTGGATTAAGGAATCAGTTGATCTTAGCAGTCAGGTGTTTCTCCTATTTGTCTTCCCTTTTGATCTTTTATACTGTCCAAATGTTGGAGAAGGCAGAAGAGGCTACATATTTCTCAAGAATTCTGTGCATGTAGTGCTGAACTCCAATTTTCTGGGCCCCACTGAGATAGCAAAACAAACTGTTGTTTCTAGATTAACCTGAAGGACCGTTAGACTACCTGTATGTATAGAAATAAGCATGTGCTTAGGTATTTGATGATACAGGGCATAGTAAGAAAGGCTAGGCATGACAGTGATGGGAGGGGTGACATAGTTGTATGTGAAGTCTGCAACTATATTAAGGGCTAATTTTATATAGTTTTATTAGCAGCTTTATTTCCTTTTTTTCTTAGGAGGTGTAACCATAATGCAAGCATGGATCTTCAAGCAAAGGCTACTAGCATAGCAGAAAAAAACCCACTTTTTTAGTATGAACTTCTTATGATTATGCATTATGTTTATGCATTAACACATACATTTAAGCCCACAAGATAAAGAAAACCTCACCTGGTTTGCAAACAGCTGATATCTTGCTTAACAGCACATGTATCTTTTCATCAGGCCAGTCATGAAGAACACGTGAAAGAATGTAAAGATCTGCTTCTGGAAGTTTGTCCTTGAAGAAGTCACCTGTTGGAAAGCTGAGTTAGTACATTCCTACAGAAACCACAGAGTACATTCCTACAAAATTAAATTAAAATATTGTGGAGGAAGTAGGAGCTTCAGTAGAAGGAAACAAGAATGAACAGGTATAGGGATGCACTGATTTGCAGATAAGGAAAGTGTAGTTAAAGAGAAGAGTAGATCACACGTAAGAATTCTGTAATGTATAAAAATTGAGAGAAAGCCTAAAGCCAGGAAGGAGATATTGACGTCCTTTGTAGCCACCATGTTGATCTTGCCTAGATAAGAAAAGCCTGAGAAAAGGACATGCAGCCTTTACTCCCCATAGTATCCAAAATGACAAATTCATATTTTTTTATTCACATTCTCCAATCATAGCCCGTTTGTTTTTATCCCCACAAGCTTGAGAAGTACAGTGTCCCTGTTTAGCATAGGTGAGCCTACACTGCCTTCTAGTAGAAGACACGATTTGGGTTGGAGCAGGTTAGCACACCACTTTCTGCAGCAAAAGAGCTTGCTCTGTGCTCCAGGATAAAAGAAATAAGACAAAAGATCATGTGTTACATTTACCTGGTACAAATGTCACTGGAGCTGTGTGTTGTCCTGAAGGCTGAAAGTAAGATATGTTTGCAATGACTTCTGGAAGGTCAAATACTGTGACCTTGAGATTTGGGTATATTTGTACTAATTCATGAGCCAGAGCTCCAGTGCAACCTGTTGAAAGTTTAAAAAAAAAAGTCAGATCAAGTCTCTTCTCCCACCATTTGCAGACATTTTTAAAGACAAGGCTGTATATAACATTAACATAGAGACCTCCAATCAAAATTAGAAATAGACAGTTCCACAGTTAATGTGGGCCATAGCACTTCCTGGTGTATAGAGCAATGCTTTAAAGCTTGGGGAATGCAGGCATTATTCCCTACTGTCAAAGAATTGCTAATATGACCTTTGATACCAGTACTTCCGGTTTTTTGAGGGGGCCAGAAGAACATTAAGGGCAAGGACTTGTGCTTTGTGGATGAAGAGCACTAGAAGTATTTACCATTCACAAAGCACTGTTATCTGAAGTTTGACAAATACTCTTCAGCATGGTGAAGAATAGGGATGGTAAGGTCTTGGAGTATCTGCAGAAATGGCAAAGGTTGCACCAGCACTGTGTTAATTCCTCTGACATGCTGTTCATCTCCCCAGGCACTAAGTAAGGTGTTCCTCCTTCAGTGGATC